GGGTGCCCCCAGGCAGGGGGACGGAGGGCTGCAGCCATGCCGATGGGTGTGTGCCCCCCAGACGCGGCGGTGGAGGACAGCCAGGAGCGCTGCAGCTGCCCCACGCCGTGCAACCTGACGCGCTACGGCAAGGAGATCTCCATGGTGCGCATCCCCAACAAGGGCTCGGCACGCTACCTCGCCCGCAAGTACAACAAGAATGAGACCTACATTCGGTGAGTTGCTGGCACCGGGGTGTGCCAGAGGGGTGGGCTGGGGACCTGGGGAACCCCCACCCCGCACCCGGGAGTGTGCTGGGAGAGGGTCCTGGCACGCACCGTCCCTGCAGCATCCTCTGCCCAGGCGTGGCTGAGACTAAAGCATCTCCTCGACCCATCTGTGTCCTCCCAGCCCTCCTGCTGGCATCTCCTCACTCCATGGTTCCTTCCGACCTGGGACATGCCCCTTCTGTGTCCCCATCGCACTGGGCTGAATAACTCACCAGGGCCCTGGGAGCACCTGGGGGCTGGGGGGGCTGGGAAACAGGGTCGCGAGGTTTGGGGGACAGGGTTGCAAGGTTTGGTGGGCAGTGGGGGTGGGAGGGTTGGTGACAACCCCTCCTTGCCGAGCACTGCAGTGTCCCCACAGGGAGAACTTCCTGGTGCTGGACATCTTCTTCGAGGCGCTCAACTACGAGGCCATTGAACAGAAGAAAGCCTACGACCTTGCCGGGCTTCTCGGTGACTCCCCCCACCTTCCCATGGGACCCCGATGCGTGGAGCTCTGTGCCCCAGCCCCGGGAAGATGTGGAGCTGGTCGGGGATGGACCACACAGTGCAGGAGCCAGCCGCAGACTGGCTGAAGGGTGGCATGCTGCTGGCCGTCCCCTGTCCTGCATGTCCCCTGCTCCCTCTGTCCTGCCGCTCCTGCCCCTGTGACTGCTCTGTCCCCCTCCATCCTGCAGCCCTGCCACTGCCCTCAGCCCCGCTGGCCCACCCTGGGCTCCCTGTGGGCCGCACAGCAGCTCCCGGTGACCATCTCCCCCTCCTCCTCCCCAGGGGACATCGGGGGACAGATGGGCCTGTTCATCGGTGCCAGCATCCTCACCATCCTGGAGATCCTGGACTATGTCTACGAGGTGCGCTGAGCCCTCGGGGCTGTGGCTCAGCGGTGGGAGTGGGGTCGTTGCACACAGGAGAGGTGCAGAGTGGGGGCTGGGCTCTCCAGGGAGGGGGTGCTGTGCGTGGCCACCCCAGAGGGCTATTACAGCCCCAAAATTGGGAAACTGCCAGCAGGAGGCAGTGGGAGGAGGACAAGTCCCCCAGCATCCCTCAGTGGTCTGAGGACAGGGAGGGTGGCAGGCAGAGGTGCTGTCTCCACCGTCAGCCCCGTGTCCCCTGGATGGGCAGAGGAGCAGGTGGCAGATCCGTACAGACCGGGGTGTCCACACACGGGGTGCCGCCTGCGTGCCAGTCCAGGACTGACCTCCCGTCTGCACCCAGGTGATCCGGGACAGGGTGAGCCGGGTCCTGCGCCGCTCCAAGCCACCCCTGAAGAAGCCCTCGGGCAGCATCGCCACACTGGGACTGGAGGAGCTCAAGGACCAGGTACCCCCCATGGGGGGGTGTGTGTCTGCCCGGGGGGTGAGAGAACAGGCGCTGGGCAGCATCCATGTCTGCCCTGGGGGAAGGGACATCATCCCAAGAGCGAGGGACAGCACAGCTCCACGTTTGTTGCCCTCAGGCTGGGTGACAGAGAGCTGAGTGCCCCCGGAGGGGGCTCCTGGGGACGGGCTTTGCCGG